AAAGCACGGCCAAAGCGCGGCTTTTCTGAGCCGCAGCAAAATAGATGCACGGTGGCGGGATCAGCTGCCTCGAGCCGCCGTGCAGTTGCTCCCCGGCATGATCAGACCCTGGGGGGGGGGAGCCACAGGATGGAGGCAGCTGGCTGCACATGTGTGTGCATGCGCAGTTTGACCGGGAGCCTCGATCCCACAGCCGCCCTTGCTGCGGAGCTTCAAGTAGGTAGTACTCTTTTCTAGGGGTTTTTTTGATGCACAGGTTTGCCCGGAAAGGACGGATTGGGGACGGGCGCACTCCGCATCCCAGATGTTGCGGTGTGATCACGCCCGTTTGATGTGCCCCCGATCCGTCCCTCTTGCGGGGCAAAACCTTCCGCATGACCGGGGCCTAAGCGCTCTTTTCTTATTTTGTAAGTTTACTTCATTTATACCCCACTTTCCCCTCCCAAGTGTGACCCAAAGTGGCTTTCAAGATTCTCCCCTTCTCCATTTTACCTTCACAACGACGACCGTGTGAGGCAGGCTAGCCTGAGAGTGTATGACTGGCCCCAAGACCACCCTTGCCCTCCAGCCACTGCTGATGCATTATGGCCCATGAGGTAGGGTGGCCACCCCCCAAGTCCCAGCGGCGGTTCCCCCACTTTTGGGGGCTGCGTTCCACCACCAGCCAGCTGGCCGGCAAGGGATACCCCACCCCCAAATAGGGATGTCATCGGGCGATGTCCTCGACGCAATGATGTCACCAGGAAGTGACATCGTGTCTGCGATATTGAGCACGACATTCTGGGTTTTGGGCAAACTATGGTTTTGGAGCAAAAAATCATAATCATAAAGTTTTTGCCCAAAAACCAGAGCGTTACGTGCAATGGCACCAACACGATGATGTCACTTCCGGGTGATGTCATCACATCGAGACATAGCCCGACGATTTCCCGGCCACCCTGGAACGCCCCCCCCCCCAATCCCCCCACTGCGACACCAAGGGGACCTGGCAACCCTACTGTGAGCACTGACAGAAGATATTGTCCCTCGTGCATGGGTTCTTTTTTTGGGGGGGGGGGTCATCAGAGTGAGGTAAGGGAGAGTCAGTTTTCTCTACCTAGGGTAGAAGTACTACCTGGGAATGGTGGTGTTGGAGAGAATTTCCATTGAATACAAAAGGCCATTTTAAAAAGAGCACTCGGTGTGCACACAGTCTTAAGAAAAACAAAATTCAGCAGCAAGAAAACTTGTTTACTTGCACATAGTAACAAATTAAGGCCATTTGCACTGATGATTCTGCATGTTGGTTTTAATTTCCCCATAATGAAGTTCCCTTTGTACTCCCAATGCTTTCTGATAAATGCAGGGGAGGGGTGACTTCAAGGTAGAGCTCCAGCGTCTGTTTCTTTTCTCCGGGCTTAGCCCTGGAGGAAGTCGCTGGTCTGCATTATTGAAAGAAGTCAGCTGATATGGAATCTGAACGCAGCACATGCACAAGAAATAGGGGTTTGGGAAGCAAGGTCTGAGCCCAGTAGCACCTAAAAGACCCACAAGATTTCCAGGGTCGAAGCTTTCAAGGTTCACATATTTGACAAAGGGAGCTTTGACTCTCGAACCCTTAAAATGTTGTGGCTCATACCTGGCTCTTCTTTTGCAGACCAACACAGCTACCAACTTGAAAGGATCTTCATAGAGGACTTGCTGGGAGGGGGGCGGGTGGAATTCCTGCTTTCATCATCACAGTCTGATTGTTCTGGGCAAGAAGATCTGCCTGCAGAAGGCTGCCCCTCCTGAGACTGAAAATAATTGGGCTTCCCCCCCCCCCCCCACCAGGCTTTGGGGGGTTTTTGTGTTTGTGGGTTGTTTCTGGAAGGGCTGGAGTCCCAAATGGGGGGAAAGGCAGGAAGTGGGCCTTTTAAACCAATCAATAAACCTTGTGATGTCCATCTCTGGGTATGCCGATTCTGACATTTGCCTTGTGCTCTTTTCTCTGCTTGCTCTCCAGTTCGCCAGGGAGCCAAAGTGGTCTTCTGTTCAAAAGCACCTGAAGGTGAGTCTAGGGCACTTAGTCTTGTCAGGTCTGAGTTGGAAAATACCTGGAGACTTTGGGGGTGGAGCTAGGAGAGGGCGGGGTTTGGGGAGGGAAGGGGCCTCAGTGTGGTACAATCCCATGGAGTCCACCCTCCAAAGCAGCCATTTTCTCCAGGGCCGCCCTGAGCCTGCCCTGTGGGGAGGGCGGGGTACAAATCTGACAATAAATAAATAAATCTCTGCCAGCTGGAGATCAGTTGTAAAAGCAGGAGATCTCCAACCCCCACCTGGAGGCTGGTAGCCCTAAGAGCCCTTTTCTTTGCCCCACCATGACTGGGTCCCCGTGTTCGTTTAAAAAACTTATATAACACCTCCAGAGAACCATCTTGTGGCAGCTTATGAAGTTCAGCTTCATAAGATTGTTTTGTTGTTGTTCAGTCGCACAGTCGAGTCCCCATGGACCAGCTCCCGCCAGGCCCTCCTGTCTTCCGCCGTCCTCTGAAGTTGGCTCAACTTCATGTTCGTTGCATCTATGACACTGTCTAACCATCTCATCCTTTGCCGTCCCCGTCTTCTTTGACCTTCAATCTTTCCCAGCATCAGGGTCTTCTCCAGTGAGTGCTCCCTTCTCATTGGGTGGCCAAAGTATTTGAGCATCAGTTTCATTATCTGGCCTTCCAGGGAACAATCAGGGTTGATTTCTTTTAGGATTGACTGATTTGATCTTCTTGCAGTCCAAGGGACTCTCAAGAGTCTTCTCCAGCACCATAGTTCAAAAGAATCTATTATTCGGTGCTCGGCCTTCCTTATAGTCCAACTCTCGCAGCCATACATGACTTCTGGGAATACCATTGCTTTGACCATGCAGACTTTTGTTGGCAGGGTGATGACTCTACTTTTTATCATGCTGTTTAGGTTCGCCATCGCTTTCCTCCCAAGGAGCAGGCGTCTTTTAATTTCATGGCTACTGTCACAGTCTGTGGTGATCTGGGATCCCAGGAACGTGAAGTCTGTCATAAGATTGTAGCACAGGATAAAAGCTGTGAATTTTAAAAGCCCAGCCGTTAAAAAGCTCAGCCAGAGGATTACAAAAACAAACATTTAGCAGCCTAAAATGACTTTCCTAAAACAGGCCTCATACTAGAACAGCTGCTTAATTAAAAGCTGAGCTAAATATAATTTTTTTTTGCCTGGGTGAGGCCCACAGGGGGTGATAAAGCCTTCCAAAGCTCACGTCCCACCTCAAACCCCCTTTCTCTGATCGCCACCCACATCACCTCTACCAGCACAGAGAGCAGGGCTTCCGAAGCAGATCTTCTTAACTGGAGGAATGGGCAGTGTGGGAGGAGGCGGACCTTTGGTGACCATGGCTCCAGACCACTGACAGTCTCCCTTGAAGGGAAGAACCAGAACTCTGCACAGATTGTGTCGCCAGCAACAGAGGGGTGACCAGTGCAGAATTCCTGGTGATACGATCCCAATATCCAGAAAGATAAAGACAATATGAGGTCAAAGGTTAGCACTGGCAGGGCTCTTTTTGTAGAAAAAGCCCAGCAGGAACTCATTAGCATAATAGGCCACACCCAACAGCAGGAACTCATTAGAACATTGGGCCACACCCCTGACAGCACAGCTCATTAGCACATTAGGCCACACCCCCATGTTACCAGAAGTGTGGTTATCCAGCCACACCCACCTTTTGCTTGTTATTCTGTTTACCTTGTTTGTTGTCAAAACCCAGGGCTTTTTTTGGTAGCAGGAACTCCTTTGCATGTTAGGCCACACACCCCTAATGTAGCCAATTATAATGAGTTTCTGCTGTTGGGTGTGGCCTGTTATGCTAATCAGTTCCTGCTGGGCGTGGCCAACTTGGGAGCCAGCCGGAACTCCGTTCCTGTGCGTTCCTGCCCAAAAATAGCCCTGGTTAGCAGCATTCGAGATGAAAGGAAATGGGAATGAGAAGACTGTGGTCAAAGTGGCATTTCTCATCTTCTGCTCTGCGCTTTCAAGAGGGAGAAGACAGTTAAGTTATGTTCATCCTTGAGAAGAACCTTGGCAAAAAACTCCAGAGAAGGAGGCTTTTGATGGAAAGTAGGATCCTCAGCCCTTCTTTTTGCTGCACTTGATCTGTCTACTCATCAGTCATCATGTTCTTCTCTTCCCCTGTTCCAGTAGGCAACACTAGATAGGACCCCCTTCCCATTTAAAACAGAACATATTTATTTTGCAGCCTTTTTGCCTGCTTTTCTCTAAATGTATAAGATGGCCAAGAGGGAGGAGCAACAGTCTTCAATGCATTTAGCAAACGTTCTTGCACGTATTTAGAGCTTGGGCAAAGGAAGATGGAGGAATAAGGCAGAGAGGGTTAGAAGGTTTCTCCTGCTGGCAACTGTTCTGTTCTCCCCCCTTGCAGCGGAAAAGGGGCGAGCAATTCAGAGGGACCTGCAGGCTCCTGGGTGCCCCGGGGATGCTTACTTCCAGGTCTGTGATGTCCGCAGTGAGTCAGACATCAAGGTAAGCTAAAACTGGGTGAAGAAGACAGTGGTGCTTCTTTCGGGGTTCTTCTTCAACATCCTCACAAAATGTTCTTTCATCTCTGTACAGTGGTGTACCAAGACTATTTGGTGCCCAGGGCGGATAATTTTTAACACCCCCTCGTTCTTTTGTTGACATCAAGTCATGGCTGACCTATGGCGGCCCCATGGGATTTTCAAGGCAATGACTGTAGCAGCTATCAGGGTGCTGGCTCAGATCTGTTAAGCAACTTTGTTTCAGTCTTGGAGAAAAGGAAGTGCAGCTGATGCTAGAGTACTTTTTGCTATGCTCGGACTTCCCTGCATCCCTAGTAGCTACAGCCAGAACTGCATTTTAGGAAAGGAGAGACGTTTGGCTGGATGCAGCATGAGGCTGGCTTCAGGGGCTCAACGACCTTCCTCAAGCTGCACCCAGAGCAGAGCGCACCTTGCGTTCCAACCTTGGTATGCCACTGTCTCTGTACCCAATGGCTAAAACCATTCTCCGTATTCTAATTCTCAGGTGTCTAAATGCTCATGACAGTATTCTAATTCTGGGCCTCTCCTCTTGAATAATGCCCCTTTTTCATAAACTCAGAACGTGCTTGTCATCTGTGAAGGCACATATCTCTCCGCTGCTTAAGCCTTTGCCTGGAATTCCACTTAATTTATCCAGCAACTTCAAGCTTCTAGTCCTCAATACCATAGCATGTCCTCCGCATGGCTGGTGCAAGCACTTTCTGGAGCCTGACAATGGGTAGGGCTCAGAAGCTGAGAGCAAACTTTGCCTCCTTCACTCTGGGGCTGGGCCCAGTCAGGTTGGAGATGCTATATCAGAGAGCCTATGCAGCAGTCACAACACTGGTCTGATTAAGACTAAAGAAAGCTTCATTAGTTCTAATGGTGGTCGCTTGCAGCTCTGGGACTGCAGGGCTCTCGATGCTGCTGTTATCCTTGCCTTGCCTTAGATCTCTCTTCATCCCTGTTCCTGCAGAGGTTGATTCAGGTCACTCTAGAACGTTATGGATGCCTGGACTGCCTGGTGAACAACGCTGGAACTAGTGAGTGACCTTCAAACTTTGGGGTCCTGGGAAGAATCTCTGGGAGGGATGTGTCTGGGTGTGAGGGCGTTTCTTGTTTATTCAAAAGCCAGAATGGATTTTGTCCAAATAAAGGGTTTGAGGAACTATAGCTTTGCGGGCAGCTGTCTACAAAGCAACTAAAGTAATTACAGTAGACTAATAAGGCTGCGGTGGCTCAAGTGGTTAAGACGCTGAACTGCAGGCTGTGGAAGGTCGGTAGTTCAGCAGTTCGAGACCCGGGTGCCACATGACGGAGTGAGCTCCCGTCTCTAGCTCCAGCTCCTGCCAACCTAGCAGTTCGAAAGCAAGAAATTGCAAGTAGATAAATAGGTACCACTTCAGTGGGAAGGTAGCAGCGTTCCGTGCGCCTTGGTGTTTAGTCATGCCGGCCACATGACCACGGAAACGTCTTCGGACAGCGCTGGCTCTTCGGCTTTGAAACGGAGATGAGCACCACAACCCTAGAATCGGATTCGACTGGCTTTCGAGCAAGGGAAACCTTTACCTTTAATAAGGCAGCCTATTTTACAATGTGGGGAGGGTGAGATATAAGTCTAATAAAATAAAATAATAAAATGAATGAATGAAGCTTAGGGCTGCCAGGTCCCCCAGGGGGGGGTGGGGGTTTGCCCACTCTAAGGTCCCCCAACCCGCCGCTGGGGGAACCCCACCCCCAAAGTGCCTGAATTGGGCCGATATGCCTGGTGTGATGATGTCACCTGGAGCATCCCTCGACAATGTGCCCGGTTTGATGACATCACTTTCGGGTGACGTCATCGATGCACGCATACTATGTGTGCACAACTCCCAAACACCCCCCCCCCCGCTGGATGCCAGGTAGGGACCAGGCTACCCTAATGAAGCTCTTCAGACTTGCTTCCTTGAGGCCTCCTGTCTCTCACACAAACTGCTTCTAAAGGAAGAAGAAGAGAAGAGATTGGATTTCTACCCCGCCCTTCACTACCCAAAGGAGTCTCAGAGCGGCTGACAAACTCCTTTTCCCTCCCCCTCCCCACAACAGACACCCGGTGAGGTAGGTGGGGCTGAGAGAGCTCTTCACAGAAGCTGCTCTTTTTTTTCAAGAACAGCTCTTATCAGAACTAGGGCTTGCCCAAGGTCATCCAGCCAGGAAGTGCTTCTTCATTTAAAGAGGAGTCAACTTTTGGAGTTTGCTGTTTGAGGATGCAATGATGGCCTCTACTTTAGTTGGAGGTTTACACAGATTCATGGAGGATGGGTCAGACCAGAACGAATGGGTGGAAATTAAATCAAAAGAGTTTTTGGCTAAGCATTAGGAAGAACTTCCTGACAGAGTGGTTCCTCAGTGGAACAGGCTTCCTCGGGAGGTGGTGGGCTCTCCTTCTTTGGAGGTTTTCAAACAGAGACTGTATGGCCATCTGACAGCAATGCTGATTCTGTGAACTTCAGCAGATGGTGAGAGGGAGGGCAGGAAGGGTCGCAACGGTGCTTAGTTCTCATGCCCCCTTTTTTTTTGCACACCCAGAGAGGCGCTGCTCGCCACTTTGGGGTTCAGAAGCAATTTTTCTCCAGGCCACTTCTGCCAGGGTTCCAGGAGGGTTGGTTTTTGCCATTGTTGTCGGAATGGTCCTACATGTGTACCTGCATGTGTGTGACCGACCCACCCTTGGTCCGTTTCACCTAGGTGATGCTCTGTACCAAAGGCAGAATGAATGAGTGAGACCTTTCAGGGCTAGTAAGAAAACCATTACAAGGTTGTTGTTGTTGTTTTAAATGAAACTTAACTTTATTAAACCTATCAAGTAGCAGCGCACTCCAGGCAAGACGCCAGCTAGGCACTTCACCAGAATTCTAAACAATACAAGTCTTATTTCTGAAAGGGATAATAAGCAAGCCAATAAACTAACAAAGATTTCTCCTACAAAGCATGCACACAGGAGCTCCTGGACTGACCAGTGTCTCACTGAATACCAAAAGCCAGTGCTTGAACTGCCCAAAAGGACTCAAATTTATACAGAATTGATCAAAGATTTTGCATGGGCTGTTACAAATGTTGATGACCAGGTGTTTTTGAAAATCGTGAGGCGGATTCACGCAGGAGATGTCCTCACATTCCAGGATTTATATTTTATTTTCAAAATAACGCAAGATAGCACTTCCGATTCTAAATGACAACCATGAAAATGTTCTTTTGTGCCTCCTGATGGCACCTGGTATTTTTGGCCACTGTGTGACAGAGTGTTGGACTGGATGGGCCTTTGGCCTGATCCAACATTGGCGTCTCTTATGTTCTTATGTTTGCAGTGTGAGATAAGAGACACGACACTGTCTGCTGAAGCCAAAGTGGGGGTGCGAAATTATTGTAGAGTTTTAAACTATGGGAAAAGAATGTGGGTTTGTGACAGAAAAAAGAAGAAGTGCCTTTTGAAACAAAGAGACAGGCATTGCATTTTGGGAGTCTTGACCTGTGTGCTGAAAGCTGCTTGCTAACTGAAAGGACAGAAACAGTTATAGGATTTCGGTATATAAAGGGTTCAGTTCTCTGATCCAAACCTTTTACTATTAAAATTCTCTTACAACAGCCATCTTCTGGGCATGGGGCAGGGGTCACTGGGTGTGTGTGTGGAGGAGGTATTTGTGAATTTCCTGCATTGTGTAGGGGGTTGGACTAGATGACACTGGAGGTCCCTTCCAACTCTATGATTCTGTGATTCTAAATGCCAATGAGCTACGATGGTAAATGAAACCTCCATATTCAGAGTCTGTAACTCTCTGAAGATCAGTGGCCAGAGGGCTCTGTTGGGTTGCCAACTGTGGACTCGGGAATTCCTGGATGTTTAGAGGCAGAGGTCATTTCGGGGGGGGATCGCGGGGGAACGCAGTTCCCCCGGGTGAGGTGCGGGGGGGGCGGGGCACACGATGAAGCCACACCCCCTGCTTCCGGCCGCCCTGCTTCCGGCCCTCATTCAGCCAGGAGGCAGGAGAAGAGGGAGGGTAAGTTGCTTCCTCCCCGCCTCTCCCCACCTCTGCCTGCCGGGGCCAGGGAGAGCCTTGGCGGGGCTTCCTCGCACTCCCGCCGGCCTTGCAGGTCCACCGCCGGGCCTTATGATGTCAGGGGGGTGGCATATGCTAATGAGTTATGCTAATGAGTTCCCCTAGCTCTTTTTCTACGAAATGTCCCCTGTTTAGAGGTGTAGCTGGGGGAGGGGGGCTTGGGGAAGGAGGGAGGTCACTGAGGTATAATGCCATGGAACCCAGTGGGTACATAGGTTAAGAGTGGTGGACTCTAATCTGGAGAGCGGGGTTTGATTCTCCCCCTCCTCCACATGAAGCCTGCTGGGGTGACCTTGGGCCAGTCACCGTAGTCTCAGCCCCACGTACCTCAAAGGGTGCCTGTTGTGGGGAGAAGAAGGGAAGATGATTGTAAGACTGAGACTTCTTAAGGTAGAGAAAAGTGGGGTAGCAAGCTCTCCTCCTACTGTTTTCTCCAGGGGACCTGATTTCTGTAGTCTGGTTGGCAACCCAAGCACAGAAGCAGGGAGAGGCTTTGGCCTTCTGGAGCCGGGGGTCCTCCACAGAGTTACAGGGTCTGCTGAACTACCAGTTGGATCCAGTAGGGCTATTCTTACATCGATAAGATCTGATTATTATGCTGTCATGCCGGCCACATGACCACGGAAACGTCTTCGGACAGCACTGGCTCTTTGGCTTTGAAACAGAGATGAGCACTACAACCTTAGAGTCGGGTTCGACTGGCTTTCGAGCAAGGGAACCATTACCTTTACCTATGGTTTTACTCAAATGAGTATTACTTTAAAGGGGGGGAGGGAAAGCAAAGATGAAATCCATCAGCACATTGCGGGGGTGGGCAGGCGTGGATCTGTTCTCTGTCTCTTCGTGGCTCTTTCCTCTGTGAAAACCCCCTTTCCCTTTTCTGTCCTCGTGCAAACAGTTTATTTAGAGTCGTCAGATGACGTGACTGCCCACGACTTTGAAAATCTCATGCAACTCAATGCTGTGAGCTGTTTGTTATTATCCAAGGTGAGTGTTTCTAAAGTATCAGCAGGTTCCCTGTTCCTGAGGGCAGCTGGCATCTTTCAGAGTGGAAAGTTAAGAAGGAAAAAAACCCTGGGATGGTATCCGATTTAGAGGTGCTGCAGGGCTTTCTCTGGGTCCTTCAGTCATCCGCTGCCCGAATGAACGTGATGAGGAAGGTCCCTGGCTCCACAGCAGAGGGCCTGCTCTGTCCACTAAGGATTCATCCCCGCCATCCCCAGTTGCTAGCCATACTGGGGAGGGTCTCAGCCAGTGGACAATTCCAAGCTACGTGGATCAATGTAAAGGTCTGTGGCTGCATAGGGCAGCTTTGGACTTTTTCTCTTTTGAGGTCAGGCACACCTTTTCTCCTTCTGTCTTGTGTACAGTATGCACTGCCCTACTTACGGCAAACGAAAGGAAACATCGTCAACGTGGGCAGCATCGAAGGTACTATTGGGATGAAATATGCTGTGTCAGCTGTTGCAAGCAAGGTAATCCTGACCCAATGACAGAATTGGTTGCCCCCCCCCAATGCTTCTGCTCTTGAGCTTCTTAGAGCAGCTTGGCTGGCAGATGAAGGTTTGCACAGCATGGGGATGGCCAGTGATAGTGTCTCCATTCTCTATGCTTTGAAAGACTCCACCTGTGGGCTCTTGTAAACCAAGGTGCTCCTAAAGGCACAGGAGGAGGCTGGCTTGATATTTTTCAGTTCAGATATCAATCCTCATAAATGAGCCTAACGCCAGTCCATAACCAGTAAAGGTTTCATGGGACGTCCGTTCGCTTTCTTTTCATTATCAGACTGGAAAAAGTTCACTTAGGCCTCAGCGCTGAAAACATCCTACATCTTTGACCCTTCCCTTTGAACCCCAAGTAGGGTTGCCGACTACCTAGAGTAGATGGAATGCCCTCCCCCTTGACTCGAGGCTTCATGGGAAGGTTATTTACAAGGTGATGCTATGAAAAGCTTGATGGTGACCGTAACTCCAAGGGACGAGATTTCTACCTCTCTGCTCTAACTCATTCATCTGCCAAAGGAGCTGCGGTGGCTCAAGTGGTTAAGACGCTGAACTGCAGGCTGTGGAAGGTCAGTAGTTCAGCAGTTCAAGACCGGGTGCCGCATGATGGAGTGAGCTCCCATCTCTAGTTCCAGCTCCTGCCAACCTAGCAGTTCGAAAGCAAGAAATTGCAAGTAGATAAATAGGTACCACTTCGGTAGGAAGGTAACAGCGTTCCGTGCGCCTCGGTGTTTAGTCATGCCGGCCACATGACCATGGAAACATCTTCGGACAGCGCTGGCTCTTTGGCTTTGAAACGGAGATGAGCACCGCAACCCTAGAGTCGGATTCGACTGGCTTTCGAGCAAGGGAACCTTTACCTTTACCTTCCTGGTCTAGGGGTCAGACTTGTATATCTAGGGACAAATTGCCCCCATGGTGCATTTCACCTGCCCCACCCCATTCTTTCCCCTATCCAGAAGGAACTGGTCTTTGTGGGGATGGGGATGACCAGTGTTCCCTCTAAGCTGAGTTAGTGTGAGCCAGCTCACAGTTTTTTAGCCTCCGGCTCACACATTTTTGTCTTAGCTCAGGAAGGATGGCTCCAGGGGAAACTAATTTATGCAGCAGCCAAATCGCTGACTCACAGCTTTAACGCCGGTAGCTCACAAAGTAGAATTTTTGCTCACAAGACTCTACAGCTTAGAGGGAGCATTGGTGATGACTCAGGTGATGAAAGTCAACGTTGAAGGATAAGGTTAGGCCCGGAGCCAGAATTTTTTTTAATCCAGAGGGGCCCGTAAATAAATTGGGGGGCACCTGCACAGACACCCCCCCCAAGGGAGCACCACAACTAAAATTAAAAAATGGAAGTCAGGGGGCCTGGGCTGGATGGAAGTCAGGGGGCTCTTGGCGGTAAGTTGGGGGGGCAGGCCCCGAGATGCCCCACTGCAGCTACAGGCCTGGATAAGGTCCAGCCCCCCAACCTCCACCCCGTCCTCACCAGGGTTGCCAACAGGACTTAAGAAAAATACCCCTCCCTTTAAGAGAAGCTTAGTAGCCACTTGGACTGTAGGCATTATTGAAGCCCATACCATAAAAAATCATTCTCTTTATTCACATCAGAGTGTAGTCAGAGGCATAGGAGGAGGCCAGGACATTTCTGGACAGTTGGCAACCCTGCTTGTTGTGTGTTCCCTTGCAGGGCGCTGTGATTGCAATGACCAAGGCCCTGGCCATCGACGAGAGCAAATACGGAGTACGGGTCAACAGGTAAAAACGATTATCATCATTACAGAGTCCTCGATGCACAGTGTCCCTTGCAGAACACTCTCAGGAAAGAAAGATAGGACCTCCGTAGCCTAACACCAGGAGTTAACAGGCTAAAGTTTTTTGCTAAAGCAAATAAAGAGATAATACAGGGGGAAAGATAAGGAATGATAACAGGTAATTGGAACTAAAAGAGTGTAACACTCAGACAAATGGGCTGGGGTAACTTTCCTGGAGAAGGTATAAGTGATACAAAGTCCACAAGTTTCTTTTCCTTTTCAAATATTGTTGCTTATGAGAAGAGAACCACAAGGAATAGATAAGGTACAAACCATGGTAACTTCTAATTAATCCCATTATTTTCAATTCCACTGGAATAATCTGCTTTGCCTTAAGGACGTACATAGGCAGTGTCTTTAAATAGAAAAATGTATATCAGTATATCTGAAACCACCAAAGTACCTAAACCACTGCACTTACAGATAGAGGAGACCGGGGGAGGGATGTCTACATACTAGTGGGTCTCCCCCAGGTGTGCAGAAAAGTACAGCTTTGTCAATTTACTAAAATAAGAACAAGACACCAAGGAAAAAACCCAGCTTCAGAACCGAATCTGCGCCAGGGAGCACGGAATGTGGAGAGCAGGTCACAGTGAGTTAAAGTAGAGAGAAAAAGGTGGGGCGGGGGAGAAATCGGCCTCCTTAAGTCCACCCCGAAGAGTTTACAGAATCCTGGAGTTTTTGCTCTTACTTTTTTTCTTGTGCCTTAAAGAATTCCCTGTGGACTGAGATTGCAGAGGCTGCATTCCACGCCATATTTTTCTAGGGTGTAGAAATGAATAATCAGGAGTCTGGGGTTAAATTGTAAGGTCATCGCAGAAGTTGCTGTCTTTCTAGGAATAATTAGAAAGGCGTGTCTTCAAAACTCATTCATTTGGGGATGTATTTCTTGATGCTTCATGATGCCCCTGATCTTTTTCTTAATTCTCAATCATTTTGAATTTTAGCATATCACCGAGCAACATCTGGACTCCTTTGTGGGAAAGTGAAGCAAATCGTTTTAAGAATCTCGAGGCCGTACTCCAGGAAGGCGAAAGTTATCAGGCAAGTGTGTTGTGGGGAAACAGGAATGGAGCTGGTGCAGATAAATGGTTTCTTCCAGGGGTTGCCATCCTCAAGGTGGGGCCTGAAGTTCTCCTAGAATGACAGCTGTTCTCCAGGCGACAGAGCTCAGTGCTCAGGAGGAAATGGCAGCTCTGCAGGGCAGGGGGAACAGAAGTCCTAGAGTGTCCCCAGATGGAGGGTGCTGGTGGTCTTCACTCCCCTTAGATCTCTCCCCTCCCCAGACTCTGCCCTCCCCAGGCATGGCCTTTAGATCTCCCAAGCCAGCATTGGCAGCCTTAGTTCTACCACATGTGAAGTGGTAATAATAAGTAGGGGAGTGTATACAATGGCAGAAATTCGAATTTCGCACCCAGGAAACCTGAATTCTACTGCTTATAAATCCTGCCCCACCCAGATTCAGCTTCTGAGACCTCACAATCTTATCTTATGTGAGCTGAGTTTAGAATTCTACATTTATCTCTCTTCTCTTGCACATTTATAGCTATTGGGACGCTTTGGGACCCCAGAAGAGGTGGCCTTGGGTATTCTGTTCCTTGCTGCTGATGGAACTTTCTGCACTGGCCTGGACCTTCTACTCACTGGTGGAGCTGAAGTTGGCTTTGGAAGAAAGAGCCCGATGGGTCCTGACTCTTTTGCAATTGATATCGGGAATCTGAAGGACTCCTCCAGCAACTAAGGGAACCAGAAAGAGGAGTGGGGATAAGAGCTCAGTGTACAACAGTCATTGATTCAAAGTCATTAATTCAGACTTCATTAAATGCTTCTTGTCTATGTTTTCTGATTGTTCCCCCTTGGCCAACAACTCTGCCTGTTCTTGTTCCAAACCCCATAATCCGAGAAAGAAATGGCTCAAAAGAAAGAGATGCCATAAAGGTGTTGTTGCTGTTTGGCTTTAATACATGAAAATGAGTTTGCATCAGTACCCACCCTACCTAGCTGAGCTGGGTTTGGTGCCCTCTCCCCGGCCTTACAGCCTCTTTTCCCTTCACCTCCAAGCTCTCGGCCTGGCATCATTTGCCTCTCCCCCTTTCAGATGTTCTTTGGGCAAACTGTGCTTGCTTGCTGGTGAAGGAAAAGCAAGTTTGTACATTCTCCAAAAGTAGGACTTCTAACCAGAGTGGCGGCAGATCTTCTTTTAATGATTTAGCAGAGGGATGGAGAAGACACCATAACAGTGAAGGTGTTCTATTGTTATCAATTGACTGAGGGCGAATCTGCATTTGCTTTTTAAAATCATTTTCGTACTGCTGTGACGCCGTCTTTCTCTATGCTTGTTTGAATGTTGTTTGGAGAAGATTCTTTTAAAGCAGTGCGGAGGTGCAATGACAGTGGAGCCGCCCCAAAAGGACGATAAACATATGTGGACGTGCGAAAGTATGCTAGCACTCCTGAGGTGTGAAAACGTCACCAAATGTAGACAGCTTTTTTGAAGACGGGGTCAAAAGGCTGGGACACCGGTTGGGAAAGACAAATGCAGATTCTGCCTGAGAAAATACATAATAACAAAACCCAGCCTTAGTATGCATATGGATTTGCGGAACCCTTGAATAACTCCAGGCCTTCGAGGCTGATACCACTGCCTTAGAGAAATAGTACACCTTGGAAGGTATTCTATAAACATGTGGCCATCTCTGTTTTTTTTTTTTTAAAAGACTCACAGACCTTGGAGAAGGCTTAGAACAGTCATCCTCAGGGCTACACAGGAACGGAGTTCTGGTTGGCTTCCAAATTGGCCACCCCCAGCAGGAACTCATTAACATAAGAGGCCACACCCAACAGCAGAAACTCATTAGGATTGGCTACATTAGGGGTGTGTGGCCTAACATGCAAAGGAGTTCCTGCTATAAAAAGGCCCTGGGTTTTGACAACAAACAAGGTAAACTGAATAAGAAGCAAAAGGTGGGTGTGGCTGAATGAGCACACTTCTGGCAACATGGGGGTGTGGCCTAATATGCCAATGAGCTGTGTTATCAGGGGGTGTGGCCTAATATGCTAATGAGCTTCTGTTGTTGGGTGTGGCCAATTATACTAATGAGTTCCTGCTGGGCTTTATCTAAAAAAAAAAAGCCCTGGTCATCCTCAACCTCCAATGGTGTTTCCTGGAGCCCCCCCCCCAGTAAGGAGTCAGGTTCTGGGTGTTCTCCATCCCATTAGACCAGGAGAGGCTTCAGAAAGGCAGAGAGAATACTCAAGACCTTGCTTGCACAAAGTCTTTGGCAGGGTGTTCACTTGAAGCCTGATCCCTGATGTCTGAACAACGTTGACAGGTTGTTCGGACCTTCCAGCCTGAGCTGGTGGGAAGTTCCTCATGCAACCCAAAGCTAGGGAGTCTGAGATAAGTGAACCCACTGCTCTCAATCATTTAGGAGGGCATGTCTCCCACGCCTCAATACCCAACTCATGTTTTAATGACAGCTATCCATCTTACCCTTCCTGGCAGCTGCAGTCAATGGTTATCTCTTCACAGAAAGGCGTCTCCACTCTCTTCCCTTTGAGTCTTTATGACCCTCTTCCCTGGGAAAGCAGGAAGCTCTCAGAGTCCTTGTGTAGCAGTAGCTATGATATCACCAAGCTTTTTAAGCTGCGTTTGCAAAGGAGTCACACTCAAGCACTTTTTAGCTGTCCATGAATTGTGTTTCAAGTGGCTTGCACTTTGGGCAGTTAGCTGAACCAGTTAAAGGGAAAAGTAGATTAATTGCTTTTTAACAAAGGCTACAAGTCTAGATTGGCCTCCTTGTCTTGCTTTACCAGATGTTTCTCATATGCACCTGCCAATTAGCTCATATGTTGCTTATTTAGTTAAGAATCAGTTATCCAGATAATATCACAGGATTATGCTAGCTAAAGATTTATGTTGTTTATCTTTAGTTATGAAGTTAACTAAATAATATAATGATTATGATAGACAAGATTTAGAGATAAGATAAGAACTGGTGTTTCTCTGTAAATAGGCACTCCTGTGACAAGCAAATCAGATTTCTCTGGATGGAAGTCTCACAAGAAGAGTAGGTGAGATTTCTTGGTGGGTAACTTGGGCTTTTTGATTATCCCTAAAAGCAGTGAGACAACCAGTTGAAACCTGATTTGCTTTTAAAACTGTTACTTACTAAAAAGCAATGCTAGGTACTTTTATACTTTTCACATTTATTTTCAGGGTCACTGTTGGATTAACTTTTTCATGCTTGCATTTCCTTCTGTCTTTCTCATTAAAGAAAATAACTTCTTATCTCAATAAAAGATAAACGTTTCTGCTGGTGTTCTGTCTGATTTTCTGGTTACACTCAAAGAACCATACTCACCCCTTTATTGTTTTGTATGATCAGAATCAAGGGTTGTAAATCACCCTTTAATGAAATAAATCCAAGCGAACTCTGTTGCTAGAAATGTTTGATAAAGGGAAAGCTATTAAAAGTGTTACGTTCATGCTCTCTGATTGGATGTGGGATGCAAGTATAAGACAAATGAAATTTCCTAGAGAGTATTTGCCAATAAAACAGAACTCCTTTATCTTACATTTGTTGGGGGTGGGCAATGTAAAAAATCCATCAAGCAATGGAGTTCACTGCTTTTAAACACAGAGAACAGTTATTTCTCTCCTGAGTAATTGTGAATGCCTTCCAAACCAATGTTTAAATTTTAATAAATGTTTCATTTAATGTATACTACATAGAAGGGAGATGGTGTAACAATAAAAATGGATATACAAGCTAAACTATTTGGAAAGCTTGTCGGAAGTATTCCCTTGTG